AGGCTCTCCTCTGGGTAGTCGCCAGTCGACACTGGCCGGCGGATGGAATTCGGAGGAGGCCTAATCTGTGGGATCCTCCTCAGAGCCTTCCCCAGACTCCAGGACTGGCCCAGGTTCCTCCCCAACTGTCCGAATCTGCTGCCAGCTCTGCTGGCCACTGGTGGGCCACAACAACAACATCACTACCAACAAATCAGGAGATAACAAAACATGATTCTAAGCGCAAGGTCAGTGCCACCCAAAGTTCACAACAATCCATCCCAAATTGCTCCCACATTCCAAGTTCTGTTGGACCTCATCTACCCACCTTGTTTCGGGCTTCTTCTTCCAGCCGTCTCTTCTTGTCCAAGTTCTTCAAAGTGGCCGAGCTGTTGCTGGACACCATCTGATCCTCTTCTGCTTTGGCCATCACGTGCCGGGCCTTGTCACACTCCTCCGAGCGTTGCATGTACATCTGCTTGGCCTTACGCAAGTTGTTCTCAGCCTCTTGCTAGAGCAGGAAATGCAAAGCATCATCCCTCTTGCAAACATATCATCGCCAGACTAAGCTACAGCATCAGTGCCTACGTCTGCAAGGGGTGGCCTTTGAAGAAAACCTGATGAAATGTGTGGATGGCCTTGGGGGAAAGAGGGGAAGAGGTGCTGCCTAAGAAACCATCGGATAAGAGAGGCAAGAGCCCCCAATTGGCTTATGGACCAGAGAAGGAAACTAGGCCCCACCTCATGGATCAAGCAATTGTAAACAGTGGCGGGAAATTTATGCCTTTCAGACTTGATTATGTCAATGTAGCCTTACAATAAAGTAATATTAGCTCATTTACAGGTAGTCCTCGATTTAGGACCACAATTGAAGGCAACGTTTCTGTTGCTAAGCAAGACAGTTTTAGTGAGTTTTGCCCTATTTAATGACCTTTCTTGCCACAGTTAAGGGAATCACTGCAACTGTTAAGTTAATAACATGGTTGTTAAGCGAATCTGACAGACTTTGCCTGTCAGAAGGTCATAAAAGGTGGACATGTGACTCTGGGATACTGAAACTGTCATAAATACATGCCAGTTGCCAGGTGTCCAAATTTTGATCCGGAGACCATAATTGTGGTCATAAGTGTGGAAAAACAGTCATGAATCACTGATTTCAGAGCTGTTGTAACTTCGAATAGTCACTAAATGAATGGTTGTAAGTCGAGGACTATCTGAAGTCATGTCTCTGGTTTACCTGGGCGGGCTGACCCTCCCCAGGTCCTCTCACTACGATTCTTTCTTATTTGTTTATTTACTGGGGTTTCTATGCTGTTCCAGTCCAATATCACAGTTGAATCTTGAATCTTGAATGTCTAGAATAGAATAACAGGAAGGAAGGGACCTTGAAGGTCTTCTAGTCCAACCCCCTGCTTAGGCAGGAAACCCTACACCAATTCAGACAAATGGCTGTCCAATCTCTTCTTAAAGCCTTCCAGTGTTGGGGTATTCACAACTTCTGGAAGCAAGCTGTTCTACTGATTAATTGTTCTA